TAAAAATTTGATGAACTTCAACATCCATTTACGATAAAAACTCTCAGCAGCTAGGGGTTGATGGAAACACTTTCAAACTGATAAACGGCATCTGTGACAACCCTGGGAATAACATCATACCTAACGGCAAAAAAACACTGGATGCTTTTCCCCCCAAGACTGGAAACAACGCACTGATACCTGCCCTCACCACATGTGTGAAGCAGTGAACTGCTCAGGTCAGAGCCGGCACAGGGAGTTACAACAAATAAATAAAAGGCTTACAGATTGTAAAGAAAGAAAAGTTTTCTTTTTCTTTATAGGCTTCAGAGTCATCTTTATAGAAAACCCCAAAGAATTCACAAAAACAGAACACTAGCACTAATACATGCATTTAGCAAGGTCATAGGAAACCAAAAAAATCAATTGTATTTCTATAAACTAGCAAAGAACAATTGGAAACTAAAGTCTTTAAAAATTACAATGTTAAAACAGTGTGTGTGTGTGTTACATAATATATATACTTATTAAAGACAGGGCCTCACTCTGTCACCCAGACTGGAGTGCAGTGGCATAATCATGGCTCACAGCAACCTTGAACTCCTAGCCTCAAGCTATCCTGCCTCAGCCTCTCAAGTACCTGAGACTACAAGCATGCACCACCAGCTGGCTTTTTTTGTTTTGTTTTGTTTTGTTTTTTTTTGAGACAGAGTCTCTCACTGTGTCACAAGGATGGAGGGCAGTGGCCTGATCTCAGCTCACTGCAACCTCCGCTTCCCAGTTTCAAGCTATTCGCCTGCCTCAGCCTCCCATGTAGCTGGGACTACAGGTGCGAGCCACCACGCCTGGGTACTTTTTGTATTTTAGTAGACACAGGGTTTCACCATGTTGGCCAGGTTGGTCTCAATCTCCTGACTTGTGATCCACCCACCTCGGGCTCCCAGAGTGCTAAGATTACAGGCATGAACCACTGTGCCCAGCCCACCTGGCTAATTTTTTTTTTTTTTTTTTCAGATATCTTAAAGAATTGTTGGGCCGGGTGCGGTGGCTCAAGCCTGTAATCCCAGCACTTTGGGAGGCCGAGGCGGTGGATCACGAGGTCAAGAGATCAAGACCATCCTGGTCAACATGGTGAAACCCCGTCTCTACTAAAAAAAAAAAATACAAAAAATTAGCTGGGCATGGTGGCACGTGCCTGTAATCCCAGCTACTCAGGAGGCTGAGGCAGGAGAATTGCCTGAACCCAGGAAGCGGAGGTTGCGGTGAGCCGAGATCACACCATTGCACTCTAGCCTGGGCAACAGGGTGAGACTGTGTCTTTAAAAAAAAAAAAGTTAGTAGAGATAGGGGTCTCACTTATGTTGCCCAGGCTGGTCTTGACCTCCTGGCCTCAAGTGATCCTCCTGCCTCAGCTTCCCAAAGAGCTGGGATTATAAGCATGAGCCACCACACCTGGCCAAAATTATCATTTATAATAGCTTTCAAAATCATAAAATATTAAGGGAAGACTCTAACAAGAAATGTACAAGATTTGCATCTGAAAACTAGAACACATTGCTGAAAGAAATTGAAGATGACCCAAATAAATTGAGAGCTATGCCATGTTCACGGATTGGAAGATTGAATGTTGTTGTTTGTTCTTTCCAAACTGATCTATAGAGTTAACTGAATCTCAATTGAAATCTTTTATTTATTCTTTATTTATTTATTTATTTTTGAGACAGAGTCTTGCTCTGTTGCCCAGGCTGGAGTACAGTGGCACCATCTCAGCTCACCATAACCTCCGCCTCCTGGGTTCAAGCAATTCTCCTGCCTCAGCCTCCCGAGTAGCTGGGATTACAGGCACCCACCACCACACCCAGCTAATTTTTTGTATTTTTAGTAGAGACGGGTTTTCACTGTGTTATTCAGGATGATCTGGATATCCAGACCTCATGAACCGCCCGCCTCAGCCTCCCAAAGTGCTGGGATTACAGGTATGAGCCACCGTGCCCAGCTTATTTATTTATTTTTGAGACAGTCTCCCTCTGTCACCCAGGCTAGAGTGCAGTGGTGCAATCTCTGCTCACTGCAACCTCTCATGTTGACCCGGCTGATCTTGAACTCCTGATCTCAAGTGATCTGCCCGCCTCAGCTTCCCAAGGTGCTGGGATTATAGGCATGAGTCATGACGTCCAGCCAGTAGGCTTTTTTTTTTTTTTTTTTTTTTTGTAGCACCTGACAAGCTGATTTTAAAATTCAAATAAAAATGCCATTAATCTACATTACCAAAACATCTTTGAAACAAACTTGAGCCGGGCATGGTAGCTCATGCCTATAAGTCCAGCACTTTGGGAGGCCAAGGCAAGTGGATCATAAGGATAAAAGATCAAGACCCGCCGGGCGCGGTGGCTCAAGCCTGTAATCCCAGCACTTTGGGAGGCCGAGGCGGGTGGATCACGAGGTCGAGAGATCGAGACCATCCTGGTCAACATGGTGAAACCCCGTCTCTACTAAAAATAAAAAAAATTAGCTGGGCATGGTGGCGCTTGCCTGTTATCCCAGCTACTCAGGAGGCTGAGGCAGGAGAATTGCCTGAACCCAGGAGGCGGAGGTTGCGGTGAGCCGAGATCGCGCCATTGCACTCCAGTCTGGGTAACGAGCGAAACTCCTTCTCAAAAAAAAAAAAAAAAATCAAGACCCTCATGGTGAACATGGTGAAACCTCATCTCTACCAAAAATACAATACAGGTGGCATGCACCCGTAGTCCCAGCTACTCAGGAGGCTAAGGCAGGAGAATTGCTTGAACCCGGGAGGCGGAGGCTGCAGTGAGCTGAGATTGAGCCACTGCACTGAGCCTAGCGCCTGGCAACAGAGTGAAACTGCCTCAAAAAAAAAAAAAAAAAAAAAAAAAAAAGACAAACAGTGAAGACAGTAACACTTGATAGAAAAAAAATTAGTGACTTTTGGTTAGGCAAAGATTTCTTACATGAGGTAGAGAAAAATTTTATATTTGAACTTTATGAAGATTAAAAACTTCTCGCCGGGTGCGGTGGCGCGTGCTTGTAGTCCCAGCTACTCGGAGGCTGAGGCAGGAGGATCTCTTGAGCCCAGGAGTTCTGGGCTGTAGTGCGCTATGCCATTTGGGTGTCCGCACTAAGCTCAGCATCAATATGGTGACCTCCCAGTAGCGGGGGACCACCAGGTTGCCTAAGGAGGGTGAACCAGCCCAGGTCAGAAACGGAGCAGGTCAAAACTCCGGTGCTGATCAGTAGTGGGATCACACCTGTGAATAGCCACTGCACTCCAGCCTGGGCAGCATAGTGAAATCCTGTCTCTATTAAAAAAAAAAAAAATTATTTTTCTGTAAAATAATTAAGAAAATCAAAGAGCAGGCCACTGAACTGAAGAGAATATTTATGAAACAAGTATCTGATAAAAGATTACCTAGAGGCTCAGCATGGTGGCTCATACCTGTAATCCTAGTACTTTGAGAGGCAAAGGTGGTTGGATCAACTGAGGTCAGGAGTTCGAGACCAGCCTGACCAACATGGCAAAACCTTGTCTCTACTGGAAAAAATACAAAATTATCTGGGTGTGGGGGTGGGCGCCTGTAATCCTAGCTACTCGGGAGGCTGAGGCAGGAGAATTGCTTGAACCTGGAGGTGAAGGTTGCAGTGAGCCGAGATCATGCCACTGCACTCCAGCCTGGGCAATAAGAGTGAAACTCCATCTCAAAAAAAAAAAAAAAAAAAAAAAAAGACTACCTAGAATGTATAAAGAACTCTTACAACTCAATTTAAAAAGTAAGCCACGCTTACAACACCCAGAAACCAAACAAAACCAAAAATCCAGCCAATTTTTAAGATGAGCAATAGATGTGAACAGTGACTCACAAGAGAAGACGGGCAGATGGAAAGAGGAAGGAGAAAAGAACTAACATCTTCAGTCATGAGGGAAATACACATTAAAACCACGAGGTATTGTGACATACCAACCAGGATGGATCAAAAAAATCGAACCAACCGGTCCGGGGCAGTGGCTCATGCTTGTGATCCCAGCACTTTGGGAGGTTGTTGCTCCGCTGCCCGGGCTGGAGTGCAGGGCAGGATCTCGGCTCACAGCTACTTCCCAAGTAGCTAGGACTACAGGTATCTGCCACCTTGCCGGGCTCATTTTTTATTTTTTGTAGAGATGAGGTCTCACTATGTTGCCCAGGCTGGTCTTGAACTTCTGAGCTCAAGTGATCCTCCTGCCCTGGCCTCCCAAAGTGCTGGGACTACAGGCGTGAGCCACCTCGCCCACCCTCAGCTCTAGTGAACTTTCCACCCTGTTACCTTTTATTTTTCTCGGATTTTTGTTGTTTCTTCTGAGAGATTTCTTCAATTCAATCTTCCAATCCTTCCATTAAATTTTTAAAATTCTAGATATCCTATTTGTAGCCAGCAAGGGTTCTCCTGTGCTCTGCTTGTTTTCCAAAGCGTTCCTTTCTAGTTCTTATGGGGGTGTCATCCCTTCATACCTCTAAGGAGAATCCGGTGGTTAAAATGTTCTTGACGTTTTCTTCCGTTCCCTGTCGTAGCTCCGTTTCCTCTAGTTGCCTCTTTTCCAGGTGATGGAGGTCTTGGTTTTCACAGCTAAGGGCGAGGTGCTAGGACGCAGCTCAGAGGCCCGTTCACGTCGCCGTGGGTTTGTGCCCTTCCTCAGTCCTGCAGGGATTGAGTAAAACCTGAGCGTCCCACACCCTCCAGCACTAAGTGCCCCTTCGTAATGATGTGGAGAGACCTTTTTTTTTGACGGAGTCTTACTCTGGGTCTCCAGGCTGGTGTGCAGTGGCATAATCTCGGCTCACTGCAACCTCCACCTTCCCAGTTGAAACGATTCTCCTGCCTCTGCCTCCCAAGCAGCTGGGACTATGGGCACCCACCACCACACCCGACTACTTTTTTGTATTTTTGGTAGAGACGGGGTTTCACTGTGTTAGCCAGGATGGTCTCGATCACCCGACCTCGTGATCCCCCCACCGCGGCCTCCCAAAGTGCTGGGGTTACAGGTGTGAGCCACCTCACCGGGCCTCGTGGAGAGGCCTTCTTATTAGTCTGAGGAAGGGCTTGTGTTACAGGCTGTGGGGAGAAAATCTGATTACAGAACTAATATCCAAGTAAAAATGTATGAATGCACACTCAAGACAGCCTGGGAAATGATGCCCCTGATCTCACAGAGGTCCTCTCTGTGGGGCAGCCCCACCGCCCCTCCTGTTTCCCTTCCTGCATTCCCACATTTTCTGGTCCCAGAATCTGCCTCCCTCCCACCCTTGGTTCCTCCGCCCTGGCTTCGGGGGGCCCCCGTGGCCCCTCCTCCTCGGCAGCCCCTGCACCTGTCCCTTGCAGGTGGGGCGTCCGAGCTTGCCCGTAGACCTGGAACCTCGCTGGTGGTATGGGCTCTGTAAGTCTTGCCAGACGCCGGGATTAAGCCCTGCAGATGCTGTCTCCAGAATCGCCAGCACAGAGAAACCCACGTCTCAGGGGTGGGGGGGTGCAGACCAGCCCCCAGCCCCCCTGCAGCCCGCACTGCAGCACAGGACCAAGCACACCTCCAGGAAGGACCCCCGAAGTGAGGAGGACCCTGGGGACTGGATGGAGGGTCCCCACCGCTGCCTGGGAAGGCCCCGCCCCCTCCATTCCCAGCTGCCGTCTGTTTATATATCTCACCAGTGTCAAGGGAAACCAGCAGGGGATAGCAGTTAACAAACAGACTTTGTTGAGGACTATCGTATCGGGGAAAAAGGCTTTAGTAGAGACCTGGGCTCAACTCCGAAGGCAGCACCGGCAGGAGGCGATTCAGATCGGAGGAGCGGGGCGCGGTCGGGAGGTGGAAGATCCCTAGGAGGAAGCAGCTGGGGGATTTTGGCAAGACCCAGGTAACAGGAATCTCGCTGCAGGCAGGCTGAGGACCCCGATCAGATGTGGGGGATGGGGGCTTCTTGCCAAACTGACTTGGCAGGGTTCAGACGGGCCTGTGAGAAGCTGGACTGCATTTGGTCAAGCAAAGAATCCTGTATTGGATTTAGTCATATAAATATGGGCCACCCAGCCCAGGGGTGGGGTCCCCACCCCCTCGGGTCCCTCTCCCTCCCCGCACTGAGTCCAAACGTTTCAGGCCTTGCCCCCTTCACTCACCCCAAATGTTTTCTTCTGCTTGTCTTCCTGCGGGTACCAGGCTCCAGCTGCCAGTCTCCGGCCTGGACCCAGGGGCAGGAAAGGACTCCTGCAGGGCCGGGCGCCCTCTCCTGCAGCCCCATGGCACCCGATTTGTGCAGAGCCTGCAGCAGCCTCATCCCAGTCCCTGCAGCCACCAGGAGGTGGTCCCCGTCACCCCACTGCTCATCACCCCCACTCACAGAGGTCTCAGACCGAGGCTGGAGGGCACCATTACCCAAGATCAAAACCTCGTTGTCTGTGCCCCTGGAAAAGTGAGGAGTGGGGAGTGGGGAGGAGAAGGGAGGGGGGCTCTCCGTGTCTTCCCAACCTCAACAGAAGGTTGGGAAGGTGGGGCTGGGGATCCTGGAGGATTGCCCCCCACAGCCCAGCACCCGCAGGCCACAGGTGGGCTCCCCATCAAGGCACCCCTAGTCTGGGATCCCTAGGGGTCAGGGCCTCTGAATACAAGAGGTGGGGTGGGGGCAATTCTCCAGTGGCTCTGATAGTGAGGCAGGGGTCCTCCGTTCCCTGCAGGCGGTGGGTCCCATGTGGGTAGGGACACTCCAGCTGCTTATCCCAACGGGTGGATGCAGTTTGCAGGGCTGCCACCCTGTGTCCTGTCCCACGTCCGCCTCTGCTCTTGTCGGTAGACAGGGGAGAGGATGGGGTAGCCGAGGCAGATTCTGGCAGGCAGAGACAAACGTGTATGACCTTTGCCTTCTGACCTTTGCCTCTGCCCACTGCTCAGACTAAAACAGAATGGCCTCCTCCAGGAACGGGGCTTCCTATGGGTTGGGAAGCATGGCGCCCCCACAGTGTGGCCTAGCAGGGAAGTGGGGGAGGGGCGGGGCAGGCCTGTGGGGGTCACAGAGCTGGGCTAAGCTTCAGAGGGAAGTAGCCCATGGGTGAGGAGAGCGGCTGGGATTAGGGTCCTGCATTCCCATAGCCCCTAAAACAGAAGTAGAATTAGGGAGGAAAAAGGACCCCCCAAAACCAAGGGTTCATCTATCAAAGGAGCTCACCACGGACAGGGGGAGTCCCAGGGTGAGGGTGACCAGGACAGCTCTAGGGAAATGCAGGCGGACCAGGAGAAGGACTGGAGACGCGGGGGGAGGCTTCGCAGTGGACACAGAGGCGCCATCGCCACCGGACAGGAGCAGGGCACTACAGTCAGGGACACGGTCAGGGACACGGGAGGGGCTCGGTGGGGAAGAGGACCTCTCGGGGAGAAGGGAAGAGCGGGCAGGAGAAGGGGCGGAAGTGGGAGGCGGAGAGTGCTCATCCTGGAAGCCACAGCCGGGGGGAGAACTTTCCAGAAGGAGGGCATGAACATCAGTGTCCCAGGATGCTGACGGGCCGGGAGAGGTGAGGCCTCAAGGCGTCCATGGGGTTGTGGTGACGCCAAGATCACTAGGCACAGAGCAGGGACTGCTGGGGTTGGAAGGGGAGGGGCGGGGGCCGAGGTTCCGGTGACCCCAAAGCCAGGCGTGATGTGGGCTTTAGGGGGAGTGAGGGAGGGGAGAATGTCCCCTGAGCGGGCCTCTTGGGGAAGGTAGGGCTTCTGGCTGGGGCTTTTCCGCTCCTAAGAAAGGAGGTGGTGCGACAGGGAGGGGAGAGGACCAGCCGGTTGGGGCCCAGGTCCGCGCGCTGCTGCGTTTGAGCGGTGCCGGAGGAGCCTCCGCGCCACAGAACTGGCTGGAGACCGGGGATGTGGCACAGAAAGAGTTAAAGGGCACCCCAAGGACCGCCCCCCGGTCCACCCATGTCGGCTCCCACTCCAGCCCCCATCTGCTCTGCAAAGAGGCGCGGTGGGGGCGAGTGCGGGTGTGGGTTCATCCAGAAAATCAGGAAGGCAGCAGAAAGAAGCGGCGAGAACCCGGGGACTGGAGGAAGGGTGCAAGGAGGTGCCCGCCCAGGGACGCGGAGGGAGCGAGAGGAAGGGGCGCTGAGCCACGGCCCCCACGCCCCGCCGCGCTCCTCCACACCTGGGGTGTCCCCGCGGGGAGCCAGGACCCGCCGTGATCGCCACCTGCTGTGCCAGGGCCCGCGGGGTCGGGGGCCTGCTGCACCAGGATCCAGGGGACCAAGGTCTGCGGGGCGAGGGGCCGCGGGCGGAGGTCAGGGCTCGGGGTCTGCGTGTGGCCGGGACGGGGTCGCTCGCGGGTCCGAGGCGCTGGGGCTCCCCGCGCAGGGTGGGCAGAGCCGAAGCTCTCCGGGAGGCTGCGCGCAGGGCGGGCGGGGACCCTCGGCTGCTGCTCCCACCCCCGCGCCCCCGCCCCGCACCCGCCCCTCCGCCGCCGCCCTCGCCCTGCGTCGCAGCTGGAAAGTTGGCGCGGGGCGCGGGGCGCGGGGCGCGGGCGCGGAGCCGGCGCCGACCCGGATCCGGCAGCGCCGCGGAGACCCGCGGCCACCGGGGCTCTGACCCGACCCGAGCGCTCCTGGAGGACGGCGGGGAGCCGAGCCGAGCCCAGAGCAGCGCCGCGCGGTGAGCACCTGGGCGGTGGCCCCGGGGGGACGTTTCGGAGCAGACCCGGGCGGGACGGAGACTGCGGGGCCTGGGGCGCAGCGGGGCCCGGGGCAAGGGCGCGGGGCGCGAGGAGGGGGAAGCGGCTGGCGGTCTCCGGGGCCCCGGCTGGCGCGGTCCTCAGTCCCGACGGACACCTCCGTTCCCAACCCTGGCTCGGACGCCCCCCAACCCTGGTCCTGCACCGTCGGGCAGGCCCAGGGGTCTCAGTCCCTCCCGCGTCTTCTGGTCCCGGGAGCGCGGCTGGGGGAGGGGGCGTCGCTGGCTGCCTGGCGCCGCGGCTGCCACCCTTTGCCGGACTCGCTCCTCCCTCCGGTCTCGGGCTCCGCCGCCCTGGGAGCGCACAAAGCGCCGTGGATGCGCCCTCGGGAGCGGGGTCTCAGCAGCGCGCGCTCCCCTCCGCCGGCTCCCGCCCCGAGGACTGCCCCGGAGCGCCGGCGTTGCCCGGGATGGGTGGGGGTGTCTGCACCCCGCCTGGCCGCTCCCCTTCCGCGGCCCACACTGGCGACTTTGACCCCGACAAGCCGGTCACTGCCCTGTCCGGCTCCGGCCTCTCCGGCCCCCCTTCGCCCCCCTACTCGGCCACGGGGTCTATGCTCCGATCCCGAACCCACCGACCCCGGACCTCTCGGCGCCTGCATGCTCCGAGGACCAGCCAGGGCTGCTTCCTGCCCTTGACGTTGCGGCGCGAGGGTCGGGGGGTCGGAGCGCACCTGGCCGGGACCCAGGCCTGCCCCGCCCCCACAGGGTGAGGACGCAGGGATCGGGCTTTGTCAACAGCCTGTGGCCCCTGATCCCGCCCTGGTGCCCTGACCTTCCGCTACCTTCTCTGGTTTCACAAAAACACCCCGGCTCCCACCGCTCCTCCGAGCTACTGAGAGCCTCCGGGAGGCCCCTTGGGAACCTACTGGGGAGGCCCACTGCCTTCCTCGACCAGCGGCTGCTCCACCCATCCTAGGGGCCCAGCTCCAGGTCTGCGGGTCCCTCAACCGCCCCCGTCGTGGGAATTGGTGGGGCCTGATGGAGCCATGAGCGCCCTAGTCACGTGTTCTGCCAGGGCGGGCATAGGACAGGACAGGGGTGCCAGCCCTGCTGGTGACTGGTGTGGCCCAACAGATGGCAATGGGAGAAGGGGAGAGGGCTGGGTGAGGTCAGGGTCTCCTGTGGGGGGAGAGGGCTGGGTGAGGTCAGGGTCTCCTGTGGGGGGAGAGGGCTGGGTGAGGTCAGGGTCTCCTGTGGGGGGAGAGGGCTGGGTGAGGTCAGGGTCTCCTGTGGGGGGAGAGGGCTGGGTGAGGTCAGGGTCTCCTGTGGGGGGAGAGGGCTGGGAGAGGTCAGGGTCTCCTGTGGGGGGAGAGGGCTGGGTGAGGTCAGGGTCTCCTGTGGGGGGAGAGGGCTGGGTGAGGTCAGGGTCTCCTGTGGGGGGAGAGGGCTGGGTGAGGTCAGGGTCTCCTGTGGGGGGAGAGGGCTGGGAGAGGTCAGGGTCTCCTGTGGGGGGAGAGGGCTGGGTGAGGTCAGGGTCTCCTGTGGGGGGAGAGGGCTGGGTGAGGTCAGGGTCTCCTGTGGGGGGAGAGGGCTGGGTGAGGTCAGGGTCTCCTGTGGGGGGAGAGGGCTGGGTGAGGTCAGGGTCTCCTGTCGGGGGGAGAGGGCTGGGAGAGGTCAGGGTCTCCTGTGGGGGGAGAGGGTTGGGAGATGTCAGGGTCTCCTGTGGGGGGAGAGGGCTGGGTGAGGTCAGGGTCTCCTGTGGGGGCAGAGGGCTGGGTGAGGTCATCTCCTGTGGGGGGAGAGGGCTGGGTGAGATCAACAGAGGAGGGTCCCTTCTTCCCTTCAGGCAGCAAAGCCCCTCCCATTGTGAGCTGGTGTGTCACTGTCACTGATGTGCTGTGGGGTACCCACTTGGGAAGTTAAATTGTGCTCTGTCCCAGGACCACAACGGGCTCAGCCCTGCTCTCCAGGCTGGGCTGTCTCCTGGAGGCTCAGCTGGCTCCACCCACCCCTGCTGGGATAAGCAGCTGGAGTGTCCCTACCCACACAGGACCCACTGCCCTCAGGGAATGGAAACCCTCTGTCTCACTATCAGACCCAGTGGAGAATTGCCTCCACCCCACCTCTTGTATTCAGAGGCTCTGACCCCCAGGGATCCTGGACTAGGGGTGCCTTGATGGGTAGCCCACCTGTGGCCGGTGGGTGCTGCGCTGTGGGGGGCAATCCTCCAGGATCCCCAGCCCCACCTTCCCAACCTTCTGTTGAGGGTTGGAGGACGCAGAGTCCCTCTCCCTCCTCCCTACTCCTAGGCCCTAAGTGCTTTTAAAAAAGGCCTGGGGGACTGGGCAGCCCAACCCTCCCTAACCTCGAGGGGGTCTCCAGAGTGAGCGCCGGGCCGGAAGGCAGGGCCCTGGAGTGGAGGCCCTTGTGTGTGGCGGCACCATCTCCTCTCGCTGGCTTGGGGTGTTCCCAGTGGCTCTGGGGTTGACACAGCAGGCATTGAAATGGCTCCTGTTTCTCTGGCAGAGTAGTGGCGGCAGAGCCAGCCTTGGCCACACTGCATTCTAAGGGGCTGTCATTTTGCCCAGGGAGCTCCTGGCTGGACCATCTACCCCTAGGGCCAGCACGCATCCCCCATGTCCCACTGCAGGGCCCTAAGGCAGGGAACAGCTTATCGGTCACTGTCCTTCCTCCCTAGCCCCGGCCTGCGTCTCCACCATCCACCCTGCTCCAGCCGCCCCTTGTCCCTCTCCCTGCCCCTTGCCCGGAGCCCCTGGCCCCTCCTGTGCTCCTGAGCCTGTCCATCCAGCACCGCCCCTCCTCCAGGGCCCCTCTGGGTGGGGGGTGCGCACAGTGGGGAGAGGCAGCCCCTGCTGCTCCTTGCCCAGCCTGGTGCAGTGGCCAGAGCCGCCCAGGGCAGTGGTAGCAGATGGAGCTGTTTGATTAGAATCAGGGAAGATAAGGCCCCTTATGTGACCCCAGAGCTGGGGACGCCAAAACTGCCCCTCCTGCCCCACCCACCTGCTGCTCTGTCCGTCAAGAGAGAGCCCCCGATTCTGTGGTTCCTTGGTTCTCAGCGCTAAGCCTGCCTGACTCCTCACCTGGCTCAGGGACTGGGCATCAGCGACACACAGGTCCTGCCTCCCAGCAGCCCCTTCATGAGCCCAAGGCCCAAGGGCTGGGGTTGGGAGCCCGTTAGCAGCCTGTGACACAGGTGCCTGTCCCCGTCATTCAGCTGTCACCCTGCATGGCGCATCTCAGGCCCCATTATCAGGACGAACCCCAGGTGGAGCTGGCCCCGCTCAGGGTCACAGCCACTGCCTGGAGGAGGCTAAAATCCAGGCTGTACTGTGGCGGCCCGATGTCCAGCCCTGCCCAGAAACCCTCTGCTCCAGCTGCAGCCTTTGCCCCTCCTCACCCTCTCCCTGGTTTCTCCTGGCACTGCCCTCCATCTGCCCAACCGTCCATCCACACCTCTTATTCTGTTTGAGGGTGCCCCAAAGAAGAGCCCATCGCAGCCCGGGGCTCACAGCCAGCCACTCGCAGGACCCTGCACTCAGGCCCCACAGAAGACCCTCCCTGCCTCTCCCATGGAATTCGGTGGGTGCGAAAACTGGGCTCCATAGCAGTAAAAGGCCGATTTCTGGGGCTGTTGCTGCCCTGAACTCCCAGCTCAGATGCTGGCTCTGGCCGGGGACCAGCCGCTGTGCCTCCTGCAGCCCCAGCAGGCACCATGGAGGCTGTCTTCCTCACCCTGTGCCCCCACCCCAGGCCAGCTCTTCCTTTGAGCTGGTGCTGGCAGTGCTTATCTCAAAAGAATGTGCAGCCAGCTAGGGGCATCCCAGGGACCCAGGAAGCCCAGCTGAGCCTTGCACAGCACCCATGGGGCATCGACGCACCCCACTGCTGGGCAGGGGGCATGCATGAAATAGACCCCCCAGTGTAGGCTCCTCACTTGGCCTAGCGAAGCTGCAATTTAGCCCAGCCACCTTGCTCACTGTGACCCTGGGGCCAAGTGATGGACGGTCCAGGCACTGCCACCCTCACGCTCGGCATGTTGGCTCGTCAGCCTGACAAGCCAACTTTCCCAGGGGCTAAGAATAGGTGAGGAGATGGCCGGGCGCGGTGGCTCAAGCCTGTAATCCCAGCACTTTGGGAGGCCGAGGCGGGTGGATCACGAGGTTGAGAGATCGAGACCATCCTGGTCAATGTGGTGAAACCCCGTCTCTACTAAAAATACAAAAAATTACCTGGGCATGGTGGCGCGTGCCTGTAATCCCAGCTACTCAGGAGGCTGAGGCAGGAGAATTGCCTGAACCCAGGAGGCGGAGGTTGCGGTGAGCCGAGATCGCGCCATTGCACTCCAGCCTGGGTAACAAGGGCGAAACTCCGTCTCAAAAAAAAAAAAAAAAAAAAGAATAGGTGAGGAGAATGGTGAGGACTGACCAGCCAGGGGCTGTCAACTGAGGGAGGAGGTCAGCATCTGGGGAGGCCGGTCCCCCTCCAAGAGCATTGGGCCACCTGACAGGAGGGTGGCTGCCACCAGCGCTGAGACAAGGGTCTCTGGGACCCTGAAAGCTCCCAGCCAGCCAGCCCTGGGTGACAGGAAAGCCAGCTCCACCAGGGGAGATGGTGCAGCCCCCACGACCCTAGTCAAGACCTCCTGGCACGTGGGAGCTGGTCAGGTGGCCCAAGCTCCCCCTGGCAAAAAGGGGCCCCTCCTGGGGTCTCCTCCCTCCCAGCTCCCTCTTTATCCATAGATAAGGAGGCTCAGAGGAGCAGCTTAACGGGAGAAGGACGCCCCCCCGGCCAGGACTCCCCAGGCTCTGCCACTCAGCAGCCCCCAGAGGAGCATGCACAGACACCAGGACTAAGTGGCCTCAGACGTGCAGTCCCTGCCAGATGTTGGGGGCAGCTAGCTGCCCAGAGGCATGCCTCTCCGCCAGCCACGCCAAGCTGTGCTGCTGCTGCTACTGCTGGTCTTCAAGGTGAGGACTCACACCACCCTCAGCACCCGGAGCCCTCCCATGAGGACTGCACACTGATGGCTCTCTGCCTGCCCGCCTGCCTGCCTGCCTGTCTGCCCGCCCGTCTGTCCGCCTGCCTGCCTGCCCGTCTGTCTGCCCGCTTGTGTCTGCCCATCCGTCTGCCTGCCCATCTGCCTGCCCGTCTGTCTGCCTACCCATCCGCCTGTCTGCCCGTCTGCCCACCTGCCCGTCTGCCTGCCCGTCTGTCTGCCCACCTGTCTGCCTTCCTGCCTATCTGTCCGCCTGCCTGCCTGCCCGTCTGTCCATCTGCCTGGCTGCTTGTGCATGTGTCCCCCAGCCACAGGCCTCCTCCGCTCAGGTGATGGACTTCCTATTTGAGAAGTGGAAGCTCTACGGTGACCAGTGTCACTACAACCTGAGCCTGCTGCCCCCTCCCACTGGTGAGTCCCCACCCAGAGCCTTCCCGCCCGGGCCCCACCTCAGCACACCCTGAGCTCTCTTCATGGGAAGTTTCCTGGGTGCTTGTGCAGCCCCTGAAGCTACCCTGCCAAGGGAGGCTTGTCACTCCTCAGGTGCCCACTGCCACTGGCAGGTGAGGTAATGAGGTAACTGAGCCACGAAGCTGGGGACCCACCCAAGGCCGCAGATGCAGGAAATAACAGAACGGTGGAAACTGGCTGCTGCTGCTGTGCGCCCCCAGGCCCAGGCGGGCACCACCACCTATGCCCATGGAGCTTCCAGTGGGCAGACAGTGCCAAGGGGTGGGAGGGGGGACCCAGAGGGTCAGCAGAGCACACAGGCCTGGGAGGGCACTCATGACCTGGACACTTGGAGTTCAGGGAGAGGCTGGGGCTGGAGGACTTGCTGGGGAGGCAGTGCCATGGTCAGACAAGGGAGGCGGCCTCCGTTGGGCAGAGGGGAGCAGGTGTGGCAGCCATAGCTTAGTGGTGCACCTAGGAAGGACAAAAACCACATTGGGTTCAGCCTCAGAGAGGGAGGTGACTCAAGACAGTCATGGGGAAGGGAGGACACCAGTGTGGGTTTGGGGCACATTTGAGGTGGGAGGTCTTCAAGGGCAGCTGTCCTGGCAGAGCTGGAACTCAGGGTAGGGCTGCGGGCTCTGGGAAGGCTGGTCCAGGGGAGGTGGAGGTCAGGTGGGGGAGGTGGAGGTCAGGTGTGGGAGGTGGAGGTCAGGTGTGGGAGGTGGAGGTCAGGTGTGGGGGAGGTGGAGGTCAGGTGTGGGAGGTGGAGGTCAGGTGGGGAAGTGGAGGTCAGGTAAGGGAGGTGGAGGTCAGGTGGGGGAGGTGGAGGTCAGGTGGGGGAGGTGGAGGTCAGGTGGGGGAGGTGGAGGTCAGGTGGGGAGGTGGAGGTCAGGTGGGGAGGTGGAGGTCAGGTAAGGGAGGTGGAGGTCAGGTAAGGGAGGTGGAGGTCAGGTAAGGGAGGTGGAGGTCAGGTGTGGGAGGTGGAGGTCAGGTAAGGGAGGTGGAGGTCAGGTGTGGGAGGTGGAGGTCAGGTAAGGGAGGTGGAGGTCAGGTAAGGGAGGTGGAGGTCAGGTGTGGGAGGTGGAAGTCAGGTGTGGGGGAGGTGGAGGTCAGGTAAGGGAGGTGGAGGTCAGGTGGGGGAGGTGGAGGTCAGGTGGGGAGGTGGAGGTCAGGTTGGGGAGGTGGAGGTCAGGTAAGGGAGGTGGAGGTCAGGTGTGGGAGGTGGAGGTCAGGTGGGGAAGTGGAGGTCAGGTAAGGGAGGCGGGGGTCAGGTGGGGAGGTGGAGGTCAGGTAAGGGAGGTGGAGGTCAGGTAGGGGAAGTGGAGGTCAGGTGGGGGAGGTGGAGGTCAGGTGTGGGAGGTGGAGGTCAGGTGTGGGAGGTGGAGGTCAGGTGTGGGAGGTGGAGGTCAGGTGGGGAAGTGGAGGTCAGGTGGGGAGGTGGAGGTCAGGTGGGGAGGTGGAGGTCAGGTGGGGGAGGTGGAGGTCAGGTAAGGGAGGCAGCAGCCCAGACCACCTCCTGGGGAAAGTGACTGCAGGACTCAGGCTGCCAGAGGGAGGAAAGAGGCCTGCTGAGGGAGCCCTTCCTCCCGCCCTGTCCTGCCCGGCCCCACCCCACTCTGCCCGGCCCCACCCCACTCTGCCCGGCCCCACCCCACTCTGCCCGGCCCCACCCCACTCTGCAGAGCTGGTCTGCAACAGGACCTTCGACAAGTATTCCTGTTGGCCGGACACTCCTCCAAATACCACAGCCAACATCTCCTGCCCCTGGTACCTGCCTTGGCACCACAAAGGTACCCATCGAGAGGCAGGGCTGTGGGAGGGGTGGGCCTGGGGTGGAGCTGACCCCAGCCTGCCCCACACCCCCAGTGCAACACCGCTTCGTGTTCAAGAGATGTGGGCCCGATGGGCAGTGGGTGCGAGGACCCCGGGGGCAGCCTTGGCGAAACGCCTCCCAGTGCCAGATAGACGACGAGGAGACTGAGGTCCAGGTCAGCCGGTGGCGGGCAGGCAGGCAAGGTGGGTCTGGATGGGTACGGGCACAGGGGCTCTACCCGGTCCTCACAGACCACTGTGACCCACAGAAGGAGGTGGCCAAGCTGTACAGCAGCTTCCAGGCGGTGTACACGGTGGGCTACAGCCTGTCCCTGGGAGCCCTGCTCCTCGCCTTGGCCCTCCTGGGGGGCCTCAGGTAGGATCCTGCCAGTGCCCGGGGCGGCTGCAGAGGGCAGGGGGAGGAGGTGCTGACCGGCTGTCCCCACAGCAAGCTGCACTGCACCCGCAACGCCATCCACGCCAACCTGTTTGCGTCCTTCGTGCTGAAGGCCGGCTCCGTGCTGGTCATTGACGGGCTGCTCAGGACCCGCTACAGCCAGAAGATCGGAGACGACCTCACTGTTAGCATCTGGCTCAGCGACGGAGTGAGCCCCCCAGCCCAGGTGGCCCACAAAGGCGGGCGGGCGGGCGGGCAGGCAGGTGGCCACATGGCCATGCTCACACTGCACCTGTGCCAGGCGGTGGCCGGCTGCCGTGTGGCCGCGGTGTTCATGCATTATGGCATCATGGCCAACTACTGCTGGCTGCTGGTGGAGGGCCTGTACCTGCACAGCCTGCTGGGCCTTGCCACCCTCCCCGAGAGGAGCTTCTTCCGCCTCTACCTGGGCATCGGCTGGGGTGAGTGAGCTGGCACAGGAGGGGTTGGGCACACTGGCCCAGCCTTGCGACCACAGCTACTGCCCCCCACAGGTGCCCCCATGCTGTTCGTCATCCCCTGGGCGGTGGTCAAGTGTCTGTTTGAGAACATCCAGTGAGTATGAGCAGCCGGGCAGCCCAGGGAGGGGTCTGGGGGCTGGGGAGTGGGGCTCTGGCCAGAAGCAGGGAGGGGCTTGCGATGGGCCTGGTGCTTGGGGAAGGGGGTCGTTCTCAACCTTCTTCCTGTCTTTACTGAGGTGTGAATTAGATCCTGGCAGAACCCGGCTGGGAGTGCTGAGGGGCTGAGGGGCAGGGGGTGGGGCCCCGTTATGCGAGTGGTCTCGCATCGCAGGTGCTGGACCAGCAATGACAACATGGGCTTCTGGTGGATCCTGCGGTTCCCTGTCTTCCTGGCCATCCTGGTGAGGAGATGAAGATTGAAGAGCACACCCCAAGCCCCTCCTCCCTTGGTGTCCCAGCTTGCCCCAAGAGACAGCAGCATCCTGCCTGGGAGGGCCAGGAGGGAGCCTGGCACCCAGCAAGGACACCAGGACACTGGCCAACTCCCTGGGCACTGAGCCAGGCTGCTCCTCCCTGGACAGGATGCCCACCATCCCCAGGGCTGTGTAGCCCAGGGCCTATCTGGCTGCCAGGCCCACCTGCAGGAGAGTCGGCTGGGGCCTTCCAAGGGCACAGAGCTGTCCCCTGGGGCTCAGGGTGGCCCTGACCGGCACCCTTCTCACGCAGATCAACTTATTCATCTTCATCCGCGTCGTTCATCTGCTTGTGGCCAAGCTTCGAGCACGGCAGATGCACCACACAGACTACAAGTTCCGGTGGGTGCCGTGGCTGGCCGGCTCCTGGAGACCTGGAGACCCTCAGGGCCACAGGGGACCTGGGGTGGGGACCCCAAGCTCCACATGGATGATGTGGGCCAAGGGGCAGGGTGGTGGGGGCCATGGTGGGGATGGCATCCTGAGATCTGGAGACCCTCAGGGCCAGAGGGCAGCTGCGGTCGGGACTCCAAGCTCCATGTGAGTGGTGGGGGTTGAGGGTGAGGGTGAAGGTGGCGGGTGGCTCAGGCTCTGCCTCTGCAGGCTGGCTAAGTCCACGCTGACTCTCATCCCCCTGCTGGGGGTCCATGAAGTGGTCTTCGCCTTTGTGACAGATGAGCACGCCCAGGGCACCCTGCGCTCTGCCAAGCTCTTCTTCGACCTCTTCCTCAGCTCCTTCCAGGTGCCTGCCCGCCCTCCAGCACCCCCACCCAGGGCGGAGAGAGCCACCCCTGACCACTCTCTCTCTCTCTCCAGGGCCTACTGGTGGCTGTCCTCTACTGCTTCCTCAACAAGGAGGTAAGTGGGAGTGGGGATGTCTGAGACCATCAGCCCTGGCCATCAGGGTCAGGGGCACATGGATGCCAGCCCCACCCCTGCCCAGGGGTTGGAGGGCACAGCCCAAGCATTTTCCTCCACCTGCACTTACTGGGTGCAGTTACCATAGCGCTGGGTGTCAGGCCCCCAGTGCAGGTTGGCCTCCACCCCATCGTCAGGGTGTACACAGTGGGGAGTCCCCAGGTGTCTGCAGACTGTGCTTTCTGTGGTGATGGCTGCGTGGCATAGTGAGCCGCCAGGAAGGCTGGCCACCTGTGCCCAGCAGGGAGCTTGTGTCGCTCTGTGCGCCTCCGAGTGGAGACTGGGCATCTCCAGCGAGGCCCACGGCAGGTTCCGGCGGGGCGGAGAGGACAGGCAGTCCCTGGGACTGGCCTCTCACCCTGCCCCCAGGTACAGTCAGAGCTGCGGCGGCGCTGGCACCGCTGGCGCCTGGGCAAAGTGCTACAGGAGGAACAGAACACTAGCGGCCACAGGGCCTCGTCTGTGCCCGGCCTCAGCCCTCCCAGCAAGAAGCTGCGGTTTGGGAGCGGTGGAGGCAGCCACGGCGCTGGCCAGGATTCATCTGTGGCGACCCCGTTGGCCGGTGGCCTCTCTAGGTTAGCTGAGAGCCCCTTCTGAACCCTGCTGGAACCCCAGCTAGAGCTGGACTCAGACACCCAGACGGTGGCACTGAACAACCCAGAACGGGATGCCCAGCTGAGGCTGGGGTCGGGGAGCCAACAGCAGCCTCCAACCCCCACCCCCAGTGTGACGATCTGTGAGGTGGGGCCTCCCCTCCCTGTGCCTGCCCTGTCCCTGGTGCAGGGGTGAGCAGAAGAGTCCAGGGCGGGGGTGGGGCACTGTGCCGGGAACTGCACGCCTGTGTCCCCACGTGTGCCGTGATGTCCTATGTGCGTGGAAATGTTCCCCAACAATAAAGAGCTCAGGCAGCCACCACGCGTGTCCTGGAAAGCAGGGCTGGAAGAGCCGAGGCCGGAGCGGTGGGGGATGGAACAGCAGTGGGTGGTCAGCACCAGTACGGGTGCTAAGGGTCCCCCGATGCCCCAGCTCACAGACAGTTGGCACTGGAACCCCAGAGGGCGGCCAGCCTGTGCCCATCCGAGCAGGCTGGACACCTTCCCCTCCTGGTCCTGGCGGGCAGTCCCCCCGGACCCTTTCACCGCCAGAGGGTCCCCATTCCAGAGATGTGAGGGGCACAGTGGCTAAGGGAGCATGAGACATCAGTCCCCCTGTCAAACCCATCAGCACCAGGTTCACCTGAGGGCATCTTCTCCATGGAGGCCTGCCCTTCCTGAGCCCCCTGGCCTGCACTTCATCTCCACTCCAGCTGCCTCGGGCAATTTGCAGGCCACCTAGCAGATTGAAGCAGGAAGAAATGGGCCTGAACATTGCCACGAGTCCAGGGGAAGGGGCAGTGCCCAATGCCTCAGCTCTGCACAGCACCCATGCCACACAGAAAGGTCCAGCCCATGCCAGGTTTTGTGCTACCACATGGTGGGTGGGCACCCTGCTTGCCAGCCAGGGAGCACCAGGAAAGAGCTGCCTCTTGTACACAGGAGGTGCTTCAGGGTGGGGGCTCCCATTGTCTGCGACACACCCTCAGTGTAAGGTCCCCGGGACCACACAGCAGGGGTGGGGCAAGTCCAGGGTGGATGGCCGTAAGGTCAGCCCTCAGGGTGGTCCCCGCAGCAGGCGCTGTGAGACCTGCTGAGGTGTGTGCATGGGCTGGGGAAGGAGCCAGCCAGGTGGCCCTGCTCTGAGGAGCTGCTGGGCCCTGGGGGAGGGGGTGTTCACAGCCCCCGCCTGGGCCACGTGGGCTGGAGCCACTCAGGCAGAGCCGGACTAATTGGAGCAAATGAGGGAACAGGAGGCTGCTGCGGAAAGGTAAATAGAATTACTCACCCGCCAGGCACTGGGGCCCTCCTTGGGGGGGGGGGGGCGCTCACCCTGCCACCCACCACAGCGCGTGCGTGCAAGCCTGGGGCCCTGTGGTTACTGTGATTGGTGGGGCTGCAAGGCCAGGAGATGGTCCCTCCAGCAGCACCTGCTAGAGGCCTGTGGTCTTTGCCCTTAAGACTTCAGGCCAGCCATAGGCCCCACCAGCCTCAGGTCCTGGCTCTCCTCTGAGCCCTGGATGCCCAGGTGCCCGTGTGGGGACGAGGCTCAGTCAGCACAGGGAGGTTGGCATTCTCCTTCACGCCAGCTGAGCTCAAGGCTGGCAACTGCCCTGGGGAGTGTGCCCCACACCTGGGGCTTCCTGACGGCCCTCCCCATCCCGAGTCCCTCTGCCCTTGTCCTTTCACCCGTCCAGCCCTCGTCCTTAAGGGAACTGGAGCAGGCTGGTGGAGTCCGGCACAGCTGGGGGCCTGGCAGGGGCTGGACTCACCTCTGCAATAAACACTGGCCCTAACCAGGCAGCCCCGCAGGCAGGTAGGTGGAGGGACCCACCTTTTTTTTTTTTGGAGACAGAGTCTCGCTCTGTTGCCCAGGTAGGAGTGCAGTGGCGAGATCTCAGCTCACTGCAATCTCCGCCTCCCAGGTTCAAGTGATTCTCTGCCTCAGCCTCTCAAGCAGCTGGGATTGCAGGCATGCACCTCAACACCCCCTGCTGCTAATTTTTGTATTTTTAGTAGAGACGGGGTTCTGTCATGTTGGCAGGCTGGTCTTGAACTCCTGACCTCAAGTTATCTGCCCACTGCAGCTTCCCAAAGTGCCGGGATTACAGGTGTGAGTCACCACGCCCAGCTGAAACCCATTTTTTAACTCAGTCCACAGCATCTCCCTCCAACTTGGGCCCTTTGCGAATTCCCCATCTCTACCTCCCCTCCCACCTCTACCTCCGGTGCCTCAACCCCCTTCCCCCAAAGGAATGCATGGGTATTGCCAGCAGGGTTGTGTGTGTGAGAGCACACTGCACAGGGAAGGGCTGTGTGAAAATGAAGGAAGGAGGCCGGGCCTGGTGGCTCAAGCCTGTAATCCCAGCACTTTGGGAGGCCGAGGTGGGTGGATCACAAGGTCGAGAGATCGAGACCATCCTGGTCAACATGGTAAAACCCCGTCTCTACTAAAAATAAAAAAAATTAGCTGGGCATGGTGGCACGTGCCTGTAATCCCAGCTACTCAGGAGGCTGAGGCAGGAGAATCGCCTGAGCCCAGGAGGCGGAGGTTGCGGTGAGCCGAGATCGCGCCATTGCACTCCAGCCTGAGTAACAAGAGCGAAACTCCGTCTCAAAAAAAAAAAAAAAAAAAAAGAAAAAAAGAAAAAAAAAGAAAATGAAGGAAGGGAAACGCATACCTGTGTGTGTCCAGTGGGGCAGGTATGCAACACCCAGCATCCCAAAAGGGTATTTGCAAGAGCTGTGTGCCGTCTGCGTGCATGGCTGGGAGGGAGGACCGTGACCCCCGGGATCTGGTGTGTGCACACACACACACTACCGAGACGGGGGACCAAGAACAAGGGAAACGGGAACTACATCAAGGGTCAGAGCGAGGAGAGTCGGGGGTGCGCCCCAGCAATGGGGACCCTGACCAGGCAGAAGGCTCCGGAGAGACGCCCTCAAGGGGATGAACGTGACTGAAGGCACTAAGATGCAGAGGAGAGTTCAGGCCTTAGGGACTAGCACATGAAAACTAAACAAATGAAAAAAGAAGGCAAATAGTAACGCCAAAGGAAAGAGAAGTTGGTCACAAAAGAACAAACGAGCAGAATTTGCCACATGACTCAGTTGTGAATACAAACACAGACATCGTAATGTAAACACGAACACTGATGTAACCAAAATCATGGGCAAAAAAAGAACTAGGGACTGTGGTGGGCAGGAATCTTTTGTTATGTGCTGGGGGTGCAGGAGAGAACAAAATGGGAAAAGCATGAAGTAACAATTCACGTCAGAAATATGGCCGGGCGCGGTGGCTCAAGCCTGTAATCCCAGCACTTTGGGAGGCCGAGGCGGGTGGATCACGAGGTCGAGAGATCGAGACCATCCTAGTCAACATGGTGAAACCCCGTCTCTACTAAAAATACAAAAGATTAGCTGGGCATAGTGGCGTGTGCCTGTAATCCCAGCTACTCAGGAGGCTGAGGCAGGAGAATTGCCTGAACCCAGGAGGCGGAGGTTGCGGTGAGCCGAGATCGCGCCATTGCACTCCAGCCTGGGTAACAAGAGCAAAAACTCCGTCTCAAAAAAAAAAAAAGAAAAAGAAAGAAATAAAAGTGCAGACCAAAATTTAAAAACAGTTCAAAGTGGTCATTTCTAGGCAAGGTGGGTGAGAGATGCCTGAGGGTGCAGGTCCACTAGGTGAGCTGGCTCAGCCTCCCCCGAGACACCCTGGCAGCGCTCAGCCCCGGGTCCTCCCCCTGCACTCACTCAGCCCCGATCCTCCTCGGCTTGCTCTTTCTCTGACCCTGCTCTTCACTGTTTCTTTCTCTACCTCCTCTCCCTGTTGTGCCCAGGAAAAAGGCACCACCCTCAGTTCTTCTTTATCGGTCTTTAGAAATCAGCAGTGCTCAGCTAACTCCTCATCTAACTCATCTATCTCCAGAGCCTTGTGGCCCTGCTGAATCCCCACTTTAGACCCAGCTCTGCACACAGACCTGGACGTCCAGCCCCAGCTGCTGACCGCGCCCCCGACTGCTTCCCCCCACCACCCACTGCAGAAGCCTCCTAACAGGACCCTGCTTCTGCCTGAACCCTGCACCTGCAGTCTCCTATGAATCGGATCAGACCTCTGCACTGCACCTCACTTTACAGAAGAACAAGGGACAGCGGGGCCTGTAGACACAAGGATGCAGCAGCCAAAGGCAGAATGTAGGCTACACGACTGTCCAATGCCCAAGGGTCCTCACATGAACAGAAGAGGAGGGGCACATTACTGAAAGGCTTAGGGACACTCGCACTCTGCCCTCCATGCCAAGCCAACAGCCCACCTGGAGCCTATCCATTCAGCCCTTAGGGAAATAGCGGGGTGTATTGACTATCAGGAAATTGCTCATGCTCAATAAGCATTAATTACAATTTTCATAAGAGCTTACCCCCCCCAAAAGAGGTCACTATTTCCTCACTTGTAAACTGGGCTAAAATGTGCCCCATGGAGTTGTCGACATTGAGTGACAGCGGATAGTGGCGTGTGCATGCGTGGATGGCAACAGCACAACACGCAGTGGTCACGGCTGCCTCATCTCCCCCGGTGCCGTCGATGAAGAAAAGGGAGCGTCTCCAGCCGCTTAGCCCAGCAGCAGGGCTAAAGAACAGGCTGGGTGGGAGGGCCGCGACCCTCTGGGGATCAGATCCCACGGTTAGCTCCCGCGGCCCAGGGGGCAGGTGTCCGCTCTAGCTTCTGTGCCCCAGTCCTTTACCTGTTCAAGCTGAATGTGACTACAAACTGCTGGGTAAGACCGCCTGTGGGACTGCAGGGCTGACCTCACTGGGAGGTCAGGGCTCTGGTCCCGGGGGGTGCCCCTCCACAGCCTCAGCCTGAGGACCACGGTGAGCTACCCACCCCTCATCCCCATGCTGGCTTCCCTCAAGCTGCAGCAGCGACAGTGGGGGGCAGCTTGGGTCACCCTAGCCTGGTGGGCTCTCAGGCGGTCCTTGAAGGGTTCACAGGCCCTAGAGGGGCTAGATAAGCCCATGAGTCTAGAGGGAGCTGGCTTGCGGCTGGGTACCAGTAGGGCACACGGGCTGCCAGGCAGCAGCTGGGCTGGTTTATTACTGGAACACCCTTCCCCGCTCCTCCCCCTCCCCAGGGAGGCCGGCTCTGAGCCAGCATCTCCTGCACCAGCCCACCCGCCAGGAGGCGCCTGTGGGGCCACTCAAGCTCCAAACATTCTTCTGGGAAAGGGTGTTCCTGGAATCAATTCCGGTCTGGCTTCTAACAGCGGCAGGAATACAGCTCCGTGTCTGGCCTGCCAGGGCAGCTTCCAGGTTTGAAGGTC